GTGACCCTATGAACAACAGAACCAAACACTGCCCAATCCTTCACCATCCTCACAATTGTCACTATGTTTGAGCCCATTGTTGCAGCCACTGTGTCAGTCCATCTCGTTGAGAGTCTTCCTCTTACTCACTGACCTCCTACTTTACCAAGCATAACATCCTTCTCCAGGGACTGGTCCCCCTGATCATATGTCCAAGTACACGAGATGAAGTCTCACCAACTTACCTTCTAGGAAGCATTCTGGCTGTGCATTTTCTAGGATAGATTTGTTCATTCTTCTGGCCAAAACCAAACCAAACCCACTGTAGTCAAATTGATTCCAACTATCCATAGTGACCCTATAGGATAGGGTACAACTGCCCTATGGGTTTCCAAGGCTGTAAATCTGTACAGAAGCAGATTGCCTCATCTTTCTCACTGCAGAGGCTGGTGGGTTTGAACCACCAACCTTTTGGTCAGCAGCTGAGTGCTTAGCTACTGTGCCACCAGGGCTCCATGTTCTTCTGGCAGTCCATGTTATATTTCATATCCTTCACTAAAACCATAATAAAGGCATCAATACTTCTTTCCTCTTCCTTTTTAATTATCCACGTTCTGCATGCATATGGGACAAATGAAAATACCACGCTCTGGTCAGAGGCGTCTTCATTCTTAAAATAACTTCTTTGGTTTTGAACACTTTAAAGAGGTCTTTTGCAGCAGATTTGTCCAATGCAATACATTATTTGACTTCCTGACTGCTGCTTTAATGGGCATTGATTGTGGATCCAAGTGAAATGAAATCCTTGACAACTTCAGTCTTTACTCTGCTGATCATGATGTTGCTTATTGATCCAGTTGTGATGGTATTTTTTTCTTTATGCTGAGGTATAATCCATACTGAAGGCTGTTACCTTTGATATACATCAGTAAGTGCTTCAAATCCTCTTTACTTTCAGCAAGCAAGATTGTATCACCTGCCTAAGACTTTTGACTGCTAACTAGAAGGCTGACAGTTCAAACTCACCAGCCACTCCTCGAAAGGAAGACTGGGCAATCTACTTCCGTAGTGATGCTGCCTCAGAAATCCAAGGAGGGGTCGCTCTGAGTTGGATCCCACTTGACAGTAGTGAGTTAGGTTTTGGTTTTTGCACATCACAGATTGTTAATGACTCTTCCTCCAATCTTGATGCTGCATTCTTCTTCATATAGCCCAGCTTCTTGGATTATTTACTCAGCATATAGATTGAGTAAGTATGGTGACAGAATACAACTTTAATGCACAACTTTCCTGATTTTCAAACCTTGCAGTATCCCCTTAGTCTGTTCTTGGTTTATTTACAAGTTCCTCATGAGCACAATTAAATGTTCTCGAATTCCCTTTCTTTATATTGCTATCCATAATTTTTATGATCCACAGAACAAATGTCTTGGCATTGTTAATAAAACAAAGGTAAACATCTTTCTGGTATTCTCTGCTTTCAGCTAAGATCCACCTGACAATCAGCAATGACATTCCTCATTCCACATCCTCATCTGAAATGTACTGCTGCAACTGTTTTTGAATTATCTTCAATGTAATTTTATTTGCATGTGATATTAATAATATTGTTCAATAATTTTTGTTGGATCAACATTCTTTTATCTTTTTATTATGATTTGGGTGAAATTTTACAAAGCAGATTAATTTTACATGCAACAGTTCATACATATTTTGTTTTGTGACACTGGTTACATTCCCCACAGTGTAACAGATCTCCTCCCACTTCCTGCCTGTGGTTACCCTCTCCCTGTGTCCTTCTTGTCTATGCACTCCTGCCTCCCTAACTTTCTCCCTGTGCAAATGCTGCCCTTCTGATCTTCCATGGTTGACTGTTATAAGGAGTGCATCTCCCTGGTGAAGGCATTCAGCTCCTAGGCCTGTCTATTGTTTGGCTAAGAGTTAAGCCATGGCAGTAAGTTGATTCAGGCCTGAAGGGTGACTCTAGGCCACTGTCTCAGGGGTTTCATCAGTCTCTATCAGACTAGTAAATCTGGTCTTTTTTATGACTCTGAGTTTTATTCCACATTTTTCTCCCACTCTATCCAGGATCTCCAATTTTATTCCCTTTCTAAGTGGTCGACATTGATAGCCAGGCACTATCTAGTTCTTCTGTCTCAGGGTCATATTGGCTAAGATTCTCATGGTCTATTAGTCTTTTGGACTGTTTCCATGCATCTTTTATTTTCTTCACTCTTCTTTGCTCTGGACAAGGAGAGATCATTAATTATATCATAGATGGCTGCTCTCAAGTTTTAAGACCCCAGTTGCTACTCACTGAAGATGCAGAACAATGTTTTTGTATACCATGTTGTGCAAATTGGGCTTCATGTCCCCTGCAACCATGGTCCCCAACCCGCAAGCCCAGCAATTCACTCCCTCAAGGTGCTTGTTTGTGGCTAAGAAGTTATCCTAACTTTGCCTCCTGTTAAGTCTGCCAAACTGATCAACATTCTTTGCAATAGATATGTAAATGGATCTCTTCCAGTTGGTTGGCCGGGTAGCTATCTTCTAAATATCTTGGCATAGACAAGTGAGTGCCCAGAATTGCCATCCATTTGTTGACACATCTCAACTGGTATTCTGTCAATTCCTGGAGCCTTGCTTTTCACCAGTGCCTTCAATGCAGCTTGGACTTCTTCCTTCAATATCATCCATTTCTGATCACTTGCTATCTCCTGAAAAGGCTGAACATCAATTCTTTTTGCTACAGTGACTCTGTGTGTTCCTTCCATCTTTCGATGCTTCCTGTGTCATCCAATGTTTAGCCCACAGAATCTTTTAATACTGCAAATGGAAGCTTGAGTGTTTTTCCCACAGTTCTTAAGCTTGAGAAATGCCAAGTGTTTTCTTCCCTTTTGCTTTTCTAACTCTAGGTCTTTGCCCATTTCATTCTAATACTTTATTTTGTCCTCTCGAGCTGCCTTTTGAAATCTTCTGTTCAGCACTTTTATTTCATCATTTCTTCATATCCTAGGCATTAGTGAGCTTAAATGGACTGGTATCCAGCCATTTTTCATAGACATTAATATGGATTATGCCAGGAATGGCAAATTGAAAAGGAACAGCTTCTTGTTCATTGTCAAAAAGAACATTTCAAGATCTGTCATGAAACACAATGCTTTCAGTGACAGGATAATATCAATGCCTATAAGGAAGATGATGATTATTCAAATTTACGTACCAACCACTAAAGCCAAAGAAGATGAAACTGAAGATTTTTACCAACTTCTGGAGTCTGAAATTTACCAACCATGCAACCAAGATTTATTAACAATTACTGGTGACTGGAATGCGAAAAAATAGTTGGAAAATATGGCTGGCCCTGTTGAAAGAAATGATGTCAGAGATCTCATGATAGAATTTTGTAAGGCTAACGACTCTGGTAGCATAGTGGCTAAGGCACTTAACTGCTAACCAGAAGGCTGGTGGTTCAAACCCACCAGCCACTCCTCGGAAGAAAGGTTGGGCAATCTACTTCCATAGTGATACTGTCTCGGAATCCCAAGAAGGGGTCGTTATGAGTCGGGTCCAACTCAATGGCACATAACAACAACAACAACGACCTAGTCACTGGAAATGCCTTTTTTCAACAACATAAACAGATAAACACATAGACATAGACATAAACATAAACAGGCTACACACACAGACTTCACCAAATGGAATACACAGGAATCAAATTGACTATATCTGCAGAAAGAGATAATGGAAAAGCTCAGTATTATCAGTCAGGACAAGGCCGACTACAAAACAGACCATCAATTGCTCATATGCCAGTTCAAGGTGAAGCTGAAGAAAATTAAAGTAAGTCCACGACCTTGAGTATGTCCCACATGAATGTAGGGAACATATCAATAATAGATTTGATGCACTGAACACTAACAACCAAAGACCACATGAGTTGTAGGGTGACATCAAAGACATCATACATAAAGAAAGCAAAAGGTCATTAAAAAGACAAAAAGGAAAATAAAGGAGAAATAAAAAAAGAGAGAGATGTCAGAAGAGACTCTGAAACTTGTTCTTGAACAGAGAGCAGCTAAAGCGTGAGTAAGGAGATTATCCAGGATTACCCAAGGCTCACTGTGATCACAAGGTCCTTCAAAGTGCCAGAGAGAAAGATTTGGCTGGTCCTTACTGGCTTTGAAGATGGCAGGGAGCCTTGAGTAAGGAATTCAGAAGGCCTCCAGGAGCTGGAAGAGGAAGGAAATGGCTTGTGGAGGAGTACAGCACTCCCACGGCAGGTCCTTGTTCTGCTTCCAAGGTGCGGAGATCACACTTGCAGTCACCACCATGCTCTGGGGTGGGGGATGTCAGTTGGGGTAGGTTCTCCCTCACAGTCATTATCAGTACTTGTCGTGGAAGAAGACTATCTAAAGGTATAGAGAAGTGTTCCAAACAGCATTACTGTGTGACCCCGTTTTGGTAAAGTGCATCTGTTTGCGTGACGGAGTTCCTGGATGGTGCACTTAGTCAATGTGCTCAGCTGCTAATTAAAAAGCTGGGTGTTTGAGTCCACCCAGAGGCACCTCAGACACAAGGCCTGGTGACCTACTTCCAAAAAATCAGCCTTTAAAAACCCCATGGAGTACAGTTCTCTCACACACGGGGTCGGTCGTCTCATGTGTCGGAACTGACTTGTTGGTTTACCTGATTTTTGTTTATCTGCATGAAGGAGAAAGACAAGGAACGGCCTCTCCCCTAGAGCCTCCAGAACAAACATAGCCCTCTCGACAACTTGATCTTAGGCCAGTGACACTGTGCCAGACATCTATCCTCCAGAATTGTAAGACAATCAATCTGGCTGGTTTAAGCCACCAAGTTTGCAGTAATTTGTTACAGTAGCCATAGGAAAAACTAAGACAGAAATTTCAACAAACTTGCTTTGCAGGAAGGAAAAGGCCTGTGACAATATTCACATTCCAAAGAATAAAACAGTATTCTTCTGCCTCAGCTGAGGAACTTAAACCCTCACTCACCTTTTTATAAGTTTTTTCTTCATTTTGTTTTCCTGGGGCTGTATCTCCACTTTCAGTAGCAGACGACATCTATGAGAGGAAAACACACCCGTTGGAACTTGCTGCTCAATGCTCAGATACAACACATCTATAATTTATTGTTAACTAAAAGACTTCTTTCACTTAACTAGTTTCTTTTCGTTGTTATAGCTGTTGTTTTGAAGAAAGGAAGACACTTCTGGAAGAAACTGTGCTCCCCAATCCTTCCAAAATAAATCTTTACTTCTAACTCATATCCGTCCCATACTTGATTTGTAGACGATACTCTAAAGGATGATGCTATGTAAATCCAAGCCCTTATCATATGTATACATTGCTTTCTCCAAGGTCACTTTTTTCTTAAAAACTTCTAAAGACAAATGCTTATTGTAAAAAAAAAAAAAAAAAAAAAAAACTGGAAAGTACCAAAAAAATAGGAAGCAGAAGCCAAAAATCCCACTTTATTTCATTACCCTCAGGCAACTCTACTACTCACATTTCATCATGCTTGTTTCTGCCTTTTATTCTGGGTGTTTTCATAATAACAAGGATGTTACATACAGTCCTACACCAGATTGCTCACTGAACACTGACATAGTGGGTATCTTCCCATGAGATTAAGAAAAAGCTTATTGTAAAAATAATGGGTTTCCTCTTGCAAGTTACGGCATTCTATAAACACCACTGTGTGCTAATACTCCATTGTACTGAGTGCCTTCTGATTTCAGGGCTCATCTTGCGGCACTGTATCAGACAATGTCTCAGGGCTATTCATGAAGTTTTCCAGTAATGTATCAGACAGTGTTTCACTGCTGTTCATAGGTTTTCACTGGTCAATTCTTTGAGAAATGGATGACCACTTCTGTCTTAGTCTGGAAGCTCCGCTGAAACCTGCCCACCAGGGTGACCCTGCTGGTGTTTGAAACACCAGTGGCATAGCTTCCAGCCTCACAGCAACACACCAGCCACCACAGTGCAACAAACTGACAGATGAGTAGTAGAGTAACTGTGGAGCAGTTCTACTTGAAATCGTCTTGCCGGCACCTAACTATAACAACAATCTTTATGGGAGCAGATAGCTGGGACGCTCTCACAAGGAGACGGTGAGTGGGTTTGAACTGCCGACCTATCGGTTAGCAGCTGAACACTTCATCAATGTGTCACCACAGCTCCTCGGTCATCCAAGGTATTAAAACATGTAAAGTTCTAATGACATATTGCTAAAGTCCTTTCCAAGGAAAATACATCCATTTACGCTAGTTTCAGCAGTGGGTGGAGTGTTTATGGCACGTTTAACGATGACAATTATTTTAATTATCTTTGTTAATGTGACAGGTAAAAAAAATTTGGTTTTAATTTGCAACTTCTAAAATTACTAGTGATGGTTAACATTGTTTCCATATATATATATATATATATTTTAGCTCTTTATATTTCTTCTTTTATGTTTTCTTTCTTTTGTCCACTTATCTGTTGGGGTCTTTATTGACTTCTAGGTATTATGAATCTGTACCCAAGCATATTATTAACATTTGTCCACTTTGTTACATGCATTTTAACTCCGTTTCTAACTACTGGAAAAGTTTTACATCTGTTTGAGCCACAACTATGGACTTTCCCTGTGTAATTTCTTCTGATGCTTTTAGCTAAAATATATCCTCTCATTGTGAGATATAAGTCCCTCTCTCTTTTTAATGGTCAGACTTTCACAATGAACTTTTAATTTATCTGAATTATTAAAGCCAGCTACTTTATGTGGTAAACAAAGTGAACAAGCATAGTGTGTGCCAAATGTAAGAACATGCCAGGGATTTCTCTGAGCTCAAAAGAAGGCACTGGGTTTACCCACACTGCCATAAACGTGACGGGACGAGAACATCCAAACAATGAGGGGATGGGCCGTGGCATGCCAACTTCATCACACCTACTGTTGTTGGCTGCCCTGACTCATAGTGATCCCGTGCATAATGGTCCTATACCATGCCCACGACTGATTGTGGATCAGCCCATCATGATCTATAGGGTGTCTATTGGCTAATTATGGAAGTACATCACCAGGCCTTTCTTCCTAAGTCATCTTAGTCTAGAAACTCTGCTAAAATCTGTTCCAAATCCTAACAACATGTAAACCTCTGCTGACAGACGGGCGGTGGCTGTGCTTGAGGTGTGTGGGCTGGGAATCGAACCAGAGTCTCGTACGTGAAAGACAAGGAGTCCTTCTACCATTGAATCTCAGTGACCCCTTTCCTATTTCTTACTGTCTACCAATCAAACTAACCAGACGGCTGGCGGTTCAAGCCCACTAGTCACTCCTTGGAAGGAAGGTTGGGCAATCCTACTTCCGTAGTGATACTGCCTCGGAAACCCAAGGAGGGGTCGCTATGAGTCGGGGCTGACTCGACGGCACATAACAACAACAACAACCAATCAAACTGTCTTCCTAGATAATTCTTCCACTCTCCTTGTGGATGGATGTCCAGTCTGTCCAGATTAAAATGAAGACAGACTTTTCAAGGCCAAATGTTTGCAAACCACTATTTCCCACATTGTATCTGCTTAGTTCATTTGACTTTTCTAGTCTCTTTATGGGAGCTCTGGTAGCATAGTGCCTAAGGCACTTGACTGCTAATCAGAAGGCTGGTGGTTCAAAGCCACCAGCCACTCCTCGGAAGGAAGATGGGGCAATCTACTTCCGTAGTGATACTGCCTCAGAAACCCAACGAGGGGTTGCTATGAGTCAGGTTCGATTCGACGGCATATAACAAGTGTCTTTATAATAATAGGTTGATGGTTTTTGAATAATATATTAGGGAAATTTAAATCCCTGCAAAGTTTTATAATATCAGGTTCAGGGTAAAAACAAACCATACACTATTTCATGCCCTCTTGCCCCTCCCAAAAAATAAACTCAAACTGTATAATCACTTTGAAAATATATAACTGAGTATTTACCTGATATTTTATTTCTAGAGAGGCAAAGAATTTTACAAACTTAAGTTATAGAAATATTACAATGGAAAAATTTTGACATGACTACCCAAAGTTATCCATTTCTTAATGTCAAAATGTTGTTGCTGTTAGCTACCATCAGTTGGCTCCACCTCATGGCAGTCCCATGCGCAATGGAAGGAAATGCCACTCACCCCTGTGCCATCTGCACGATTGGCTGTGGACTGGATCAGGGTTTTCAGTGGCTGTTTTCAGAAGTAGATCACCAGGCCTTTCTTCCTACTCCACCTTAGTCTAGAAGCTCCACTGAAAACTGTTTAGCATCATAACAACAAGCAAGATGGCTGATGGCTGTGCATAAGGGCACTGGCTGGAAATTGAGCCCAAGTCTCATATGTGAAAGGCAAGAATTCTACCACTATGGGTCATAAATAAATCAAAAGGCAAGCCACAAGACGGAAACTATTTGCAATAAATATAACAAAAGTTAATGATGTCAACACATGAAAAACTTATTTAAATTGACAAGATCCCACCCCTTCTCACCTACTCAGGGTGAGAAAATCACTAATGTGATTTTCCCCTCTCCTCATCAAATTTTCACTGTTTCATTCCCATCAGCAAATATTCTACCATCCAAGTAAAAAAGCTCTCTCTCGATTCCACTTCTGTCCACCACTTCTTTATTCTCCTTTGCAGCAAAATTCCTGGAAAAAGATCTCTATTCTCAGTTCACTCCCTGAGTGGTGCAAAATGCTGCAGGCTCGAGTCTCCCGAGAGGTGCATCAGAAGAAAGGCCTGACAATTGACTTCTAAGGAATCAGCCCCTGAAACTCTATGGAGCACAGTTCTACTCTGACATCCATGGGGTTGCCGTGGTTGGTGGGAAAAAAATTGGCAACGTCATTTCAGCAGAAATAATCTCCATGGAGGAGCTAAACCCTATTTAACACAAAATACCACTGCATGGTTTATATTTTCATTTTCCTGACTTAACTTGTTCTTGAAATTATCTGAAAAAAAAAAAAATTGGAATGACATATGTTTAAACAAACATAAGGAAGACTCCTTGATTGCTTTCATCAAATGTGCAATTAATAATTGTTTTCCATCGTTTGACAATTTAAGAAATAATATTTGCTTGTTTCCCTAAGAAAAGCAAAGCAAATATTTTATTTAAAAAATATAAACCAAAAAAAAAAAAAACAAACGCACTGCCCTCAAGTCAGATCCGACTTCACCTCTAATTCAACTACTGAAATAATGATTGTTAATGTTTGGCTAGGAGCTCTCATAGCACAGTGCTTAAGGCACTTGACTGCTAAGCAGAAGGCTGGCGGTTCAAACCCACCAGCCACTCCTCAGAAGGAAGATGGGGCAATCTACTTCCACATAGTGATACTGCCTCGGAAACCCAACAAGGGGTTGCTATGAGTCAGATCCGACTCGGTGGCACATAACAACAACACAACAAACATTTGGCCGTCCCTGTTGTTGTTGTTGTATGTGCCTTCAAGTCGGTCCCGACTCATAGCAACCCCTCCTTGGGTTGCCGAGGCAGTATCACTACGGAAGTAGATTGCCCAACCTTCCTTC